TGAGTATTGTCTCTTTTGTTTCTGAGAACAACTCTCCCCCAGTTTGATGATACACCGCTGCCATCGTCTCCTCGGGAACATCGTCGGGCTGAAAGTCTGTCGCTTCCAAAACATTTGCTGTCTTTAGCGACTTAAAGGTGGCTTTTTGTAGCTGTTCCAATTCTTTCTTAACATCATCATCAAGCTGGTTAAATGTACCATTTTTGATCTGAGTGTAGATGAATTTCTGCAGCGCCATGGATGTCTTTGGGACATTCGACTCATCGCGGACATCCACGTTATGATGCGCTGCACCAAAATCACTCTCTCTTTGACTGGTTCTGGCCTGCTGTGAGCTTCTTGGTACTGCATGCTTCACAGCTGTTTTCATCCTGTCGATGTAGGCTTCTTTGCGTTTATGCATCGGATCATTTTCATCGTTAGAGGACAAGTTCACTACCTTTCTTTCAATCTGGTTGAAGGAAGAGGTGCTGTGCAATTTGCCTCCACCTCTACCAAAACCGCCTGAGCCTCTACCAAAACCGCCTTTACCGCGATTCCGTAGTTTAAGGCGGCCTTTTTGACGGTTGCTAGTTGCCTTTGGCTTGAACCCTGGAGTAGCAGATTTATTTCCACCTGCCATCATGATTTGTTCTTCAGTGAAATGCACACTCACACAATTGGCAGCGAAGGCTGCCGTGGTCTCATCTAATAAGCTCAATATGGTTTCATCTCTGTCACAAGCGTCGTAGAGCTGGTTAACTTCGTCCATGTCAGTGTCATTCAGATAGAAAGTACAAGATTCCAATTCTTCCACCTGATACATGCCAGCATTTTTCAGGCTGAGACTGAACTGTGCTTGAGATAACCTACTTCGGTGCTTGAATTGCTGTGTGTTATCGAGATCTAGTGAAAGACATTCGTTCATATCCGGCGGTTCCGCATAGTGGGCGGCGTATAAGGATGTAAACATGTCTATCATTAGTTTTATGTCATAGATGGCATGACTGAGACCAACTTGTGTTGCTTCGAGAGCTTTTAACGAGCTGGGTTTATCGCGATGATGGGAGTTCCCATAAAAGACGCGAAGAGCATCTGTAATTTTAAAGATCTTTTCATGCAAAGCAGATGCTGGTTCATCACTATAGTTTTGCCATTGTGAGGCAGTTACATGGCGCCACATGGCCTGAATGACCTCTCGCATGAGCTCTTTCTTGGATCTGTATGCATAGGGATCGCGATTTGACATAACCCCTATCTTCTCATTAAGTTGATATACAAACTTCATGATGTTGTTGGGGTCAAGTAATGGAAATTCGGAGAAGGCTCCAGTTGTAGCGTCGAGTACATCTTTACGATAATCCTGCAAGTGTAGAAGTATGGACTCTTGTCCACCACACAGAACACTGAGAACCCATTGAACTAGAGTGTAGGACTTGCAGCCCATGCTTATTTTCCTGATGTTCTCCATTTCTGCTGAAAGCAACTCAGATTTGTCCTTTTGGGACAGATTACGGAAGCTATTGTTCAGGTAAGCATAGAGATTTTCAGATACTACAGTGTCTGATGAGCCAAAGTCCGTGAGATCCATATGCTCCGCAGGATTGAAGTTAACATCCCCTGGAATCATAGAACTCATTGGTGCGTAACGTCGATCTTCAGCACTTTGATTCATGCCAGCTTTGAATAAGCAATTGCGATAACTGTCAAAGAAAGGATTTAAGGGTACATAGCACGGTTGATGCTCATTCGTGCGATCCCCAAAATTCATAGGAATGCAGTGAAATGAAAGCGTCTTCATTTCAAGATCTTTGTCATGCTTGAGAATCTTTGAGATCACGAATTTCTGATCCTTCAATTTGAACCCTTCTTCTGTGATATATTTGAATGGATCCTTCAAAAATTTTTCTTTAGTGAAAAGATCAATTGGAACTTTGTCCCATAGAATCACTTGCTCTCCGCGAGCACTAGATTCATCAAGCTGGACGTCATCTATTCTAAGAATTTGGAGTCCAGATAGTTGCGTCACATCGATCTTCATGCCAATGATGGCATTCATCGCACTACTGTATGCATTCACCAGGGATGAGTTGATCCAATCTGTGAACTTATCATGACCCTGTGTATAGGAGTAATAGGACTTTACATCCAAAATCCTTCGAGCTTTATTCAGCGAATGAACCTCTATGTAGCGACTTATACATTTGCGTAGGTCACCTATATTTTCCATGGTGCCTTTGCCATTATAGACTGCTGTAAAGATTTTAAGGCCTGTATCATGGTAAAGGTTATTCATGCCAATGCCTTTGGATAGTTCCCCATACGATGTGCTGAAGTGATCTTGATCAGCTTTTGACAGTTTTCCTTTATGAAATGTGGAGAAGTCAGTTATATCCGAAGGAGTGGAAGGGCTTTCCTTAGCTTCTTCAGCTCCAGGAGGTGATCTATTTGATACTTCCTCCAGAGATTTTTTCATAGCTTCGAATGATTCTTTCATTGATGCTAAAGTAGCATCACGCTCCAATTTGTCGGCTGCAATGTCAGCGGTAATACGATCATTCACTGCTATAAGCGATGAAGCCGCATCTTTATCTCTCTCTTCCAACCTTCCAAGAGTCTTTTGGACTCCATCCAGTATGGCAGCTTGTTGTGCCAGTAAAGCGGCGAGCTGTGGGTCAGCCATACTTCGATTTCGGTTGACGGTAGAAATACGTAATGTTTTTCTCTGGTCTGAGGGGTCCGCCTATCAATTGAAATGTCAGTCCTGCTCGACTTGTTGTTCTTTTACCATAAACGGTGGAAAGAACACTCGACCACACTCGAGGTTTACTCGAGGGACTCAGCTGCTAAAATGCGCGAGTCGAGTGGTTGAGCCAAGGAGCCGTAACTCTCGCTGGAGTTATACGATCTGTGGGCCCATAACCCTCGCAGGGGCAGCTGCGAGAGTTACGTGGACTGACCTACTGGCGTT